GCGTGTGGCCCGTAATTGGAGGTAGTCTTTCTGTCAACACATCCACCTCCTCACCCTCTTATGTTTACCATGCATCTATCTGTATATTGCCGGGGTGATGGGGCGGTGGCGCGTGCGCGTAGGTTTTGGGCAGGCTCCAAACTCGTCCACATGTTGTTTGAAGCGGTTGAGCTACTACGACGATGATACAACGGTTATGATTGTCATGGGTATGATAGTCTTGTCGCTCACTTGCAACAACGGGTTAGAAACGGGTTTAGCGCCGCGCCAAACCTTTCCCGATGACCACGCCCCATCATCCGCAGCGAACACGGCTGTATTTCCTCCACAATCTGTCTAAACTCACTGTTAGTGAATGACGTCATCATCGAGTATTTTCATGGGAAACGGCACTTTTGCGTTGGCCTTTTTTGGAATACGCTAGGGGGAAAGGTTGGTGAAAAAAAACTTGTTTTCAAGGCTCTTTTGTGCAAGGGGGAGGGGTAGACTGCTTGATGATGTCGTCTTCTGCTGACTTGCCTTCTCCTACATCACAGGCACCAGATCATGATCATTCTATGAGTGTTTACGATAGATTTGAATGCGTCTCATGAGGGGGCCGCTTTCATATATGGCTACTTTAAAGAAATGATGAAGCCGCGGATAGAAGAGAGTGTAACTATCGGTTGAAAGAACCTCAGAATTGCGAGAAGTGCGGAATCCGTAGAAATGATATCCATCATTTCAGCATTCGTGCATATTCTGCATTTCTCGCAATTCCGCATATTCAAATCGATTCGTATACTTTTCCCTATACGCAGTTTCGTCATTTCTTCAAAGTTGCAATGTATGATGCGGTCAAAGCTGTGAAACTTGGCAGTTCTGTTCCTTTGTGAACCCTACGTTTGCTTTTTTCAAACCGTAGACTTATCCCGCCTTATAAATAAAGGTTTTTTGAGTTTTGCATTCAATGTGGCACATTGAATTGTATTTATTTTTACCACATTGATTTTGATGTCCTTCTGATTTTTTGTACCGTATTTGTAGCAGTTCCATCATCATATACCCTCCGTTTCTTTTCCTGTTAGGTTTCCTGGAGAGGGTACTTGAGGCTGCGTTCATACTTTATGTCAGCGTTCCCGAGCGTACGGCAGCGTTTTCAGCGACTGCTCGCGAAACAATGAAAATGCTTGCGTACGCTAAAAACGGCAGACGTAAAATAAAGCGTAAATACTTTCCTAGTCGCTGAAAAGGCTCAGAACTCTGCCATACACTCAGAATACTGACGCAAAGTATGAACAGCTATTATCTATTCCTTATGTTCTCTCAAACTCACGGTCTATAATGTGGTAATAGTTTCATCCTGTTTTACCTTTACAATTATAACCATAGCATAATCCTGTGTATGCATGCTTCTATACTAACAGATCGGCACTATTTACCTTTAATGACTCTGTTTTTCGACTTTTCGATCAGAATCTCGATTTGGGTGAATACTCCTGAACAATATTTGTCCTCGGAGATCGTTTGACGCCCTGATTTCAAAGTTCATATGTCTTGGGTGACTGTGCCACGGCTGTCGGCGCTAAAGAATTCAGGCCGGCAGGCTCGCCAAAAGCTTGTCCCATAGATAGTTTAACAACCTGAAGACGAATATCACGTCTGCTGAACGCGAAAACGCCCGGCGCTGACGTTCATGCCTCGGGCGCTGAGCATTTTCGGTGCTAGCAAAGGTGGTGTTCATGTTCAGGGAGGCACCCTACCTAAGGGACACGTTCTTAGCGAGTTTGGTGGTCTGTATTGTTACGGCGCCGGCTGCTGTGACACGGATTCCACATTTTTACGCCTATGTGATGTGGACTTTGTAATTAGGACGTCTAACAAAGCCTGAGGGCAAGGTTCGATAAAATCTAGCCCAAGTATCGAAAAGTGGGGTCGTAGAGGGTGAAAAGTGCTGAAAAATCTATGATAACTCTGCATCATTTGCAAATCGTCTCCTACAGACACGCTGTACGTGATCGGTGGCCACGACGGGCAACACTCGCTCTCATCTGTTGAAGTGCTCGAGCATCCGGCCGCCTCATGGCGTCCCGGACCTCCTTTGACAACGCCTAGGTACCATATACTGTAATCAAATCTCACTTTCCAGAGAGATTGTAGTTACAGTTGGTGTCGCCGATACATTTACTTGATATTGCTACCTACTTAATGAAAAACCAATTTTGAATACTCTTTCTCAATGAGTATACGGCGACGTTCTTTCTAGACAAAAACTTCTTAAATTTGAAATCTCGAACGTTACTAGGGGAATTCAGTTGTACTGGGAAGTATGTAATTGAAAGCTATAAGGGGGTGGATTATAATTCCGAATGGGCTATAAAATTACGATAACTGCAACAGCAGTGCAATTGATTTTGAAAATTTCAGGGCAAATACGCATGCGGTAGTTACAGCTGGTAATGTAATCTATGCCATTGGTGGATTCAATGGAAATCAGTTTTTAAACTCCATCGAACTGATGGACAGTGGTAGGTTCTTTGATTGATTGACTATTTGGATGCGAAATTGATTGTTCTATATGTAGTGCACGTTTATCAGTGCCTGAAAGAAAGGCAGCCGTGTTTGATCACGTATTACAGTCTGATACTGATAAACACACCCCATGCCATGGGAATGGGAAAGGCGTGGTTTTGTACTTCGGGCATGATGTAGGACTCGTTTTCCGCTAGGGGTTTCATTTGGGATAACTGT